AAAAAGGCGATAAAAATTTTAGAATAAACCTCGGGAATATTAATGCTCAAAGCAGTTATTATCCACTCACGTAAGTAATAATATATTAAGTATAATTTGATAATAATTGTGCAGTATAAATAATAATACCTTGTTCCGTTTTTGGTCATGTGAATAGTATTATAAATATAATAATAAAATTGAAAAGATTAGCAGAAAATTTTGAAGCTATCAAATTGCTTGCAGTTATAATAAGTAATATGTTTCGAGTAAATGTAAAGTATTAATGATAATTTTTTAATTAAATGAAATTGCATTATAATTACTAATTATAAATAATTGCAATAACTAATAAATGAAAAAAAAAGAGACTGTAAATACGGAATGCAAGTGTAAATTAATAATTAATTACTATTACAAATTAATAAAATACAAAAAATCAAAACAAAACTAACAATCTAAAATCAATTTTTTTAAAATAACTTACAATAATTATTACAATTAAAAAAGCAGACCAATTTTTGTAGCGACAAATTACAGTAAGTATTATTTCTGTAATAATTATCGAAATTTAGCCAAAAATACTGCTAAATATTGGCAAGAATTTAACTTATAAATTTATATTCAAGCAAACGAATAATTGTTTTGCTTTACTTTTCCAAAAACTGATGAATAATAAGTAAAGCAAAAGTGATGCAATGAATGAAACTTTTGTGATCGACGAAAGTAACAATTTTTAATGCAAAAATATTAAAATCAATGCAAATTGATTGAGATTTACATGAGAATGTTGGATAAACAATTATAAATATAGAAGAAAATGCAAATTTCAGTAATAATTTTCAAAAATTGATCATAAAAAACAGACCTATTTTTGCAGTCACAATAAGCCGTTAATTGCTCAACAATAATGCACTGAAGAAAAGGGAATAATTTCAGTGAGAATGCAAATTTTAGTAGCTAAAATATTGAAGATAACGACAAAATTTGCATAAAATTGTAAATCTTTTAGATTTAATCACAAATTTTGTAATAATTTTTCTAAATCTTTAAATTTTTTACCACTTTTATTTATAGAAATTTTATTTTTTACTACTAACAATTCGTATGACTTTACGATTTAATGGAGTAATGATTTTGTACAAGCAAGAAATCCATCTTGAAACGAAGCTTTTTAGCCTCATAGACAGAGTCTTTCTAATCTGTGAAAAGTTGCAAGCAAAATTATTCATTTGCATAAATGCTGATCTTTAAAGTTAGTCATTTAAAATCAAACTCGTTATTATAACTTTAAATTTTAGCATGTGTTGTATAAGTAAGTTTGTAGACAAATATTGAATTTTTGGTAAGTCTGAAGAACAACTGATTAATAGCAATTATTTATTTTGTAAATTTTGCATAGAATTTGTCAGTTATTTATTCATAATTAGACTAAAATATGCAAATTTTTAGCTGAAAAAATTAGACAAAAAGGATAATAAGACAGAATATTGCAGTAAGAAGATATTTCTTTGAATCATGTCGGTTATTTTACACTGAATTAGAAGATGATAGCAGAAATAACTGATGAAAACAAGAATCACTCTTGGAATTAGCAAAACTTTCAAAGAAGTGATGTTTCTGTTCA